ATTCGTCAATTTGAATACTATGGTGGGTTTATAAAAGTGTCAGTAAAGTCTTATACAAGTCAAACAGCGTTTTGGGGTAAAGTTGCTGATTTTATTTTGGATTTAAGTACTTTGATAATTATGTACAGAATATCTTTTGCATTCTGTATTATTTTTAGACAAAGTATATATACTTTCCTCCAAAACTTGTTTTAGGCAGTGTTTAATAAATCAAATGTTGATTGCAAAGTTGCTTGTACGGTCTTTTAAAATAATAATTCAATTGGAAGTTGCATTTATGTTAAAATAATCAAAAACTTAATGGTTTTTTAAAAGTGGTTTACCTTCAAGATTTATTTTACTTCATAATTTTTTGTTAGATAATCTATACTTTAAAATGATAGCATTTTCTAATAATTTATAGTAATCATTTTTAAGTAAATTGTAAAAGTTCAATCTTTTATCAGCGAGATAGGACTTTAAATCTTTACATTTTTCCTAAAAATATAAAGAATGAAAAAAGAGATCAGGTTTGCGAATATTTGTATTTTTTTCGATATATTTGTTTTACATTTTCTTTAATTTAATATGTTTAACAAGATTAATAAGGTCATTGAGTACTGAGTTGAATTTTTGTAGCATAAAAAAATGTAATTCTTATAATTCTAAAAGTTATTTAGCGTTTAGAATTTGGTTTAGGCAAAGAGGCTTTAACAAGTTAAGTATATCATTGTTTATGCCATTTATAATAGTATTTTTGTGATACCATTTATAAATTAATATTACTTGATACCAATATTGGAAGTAAATATGTTATAAGTTTGCATCATGACAAAAACTACATTTATGTAAAAAATTAGTTCAAGCTTCACTACAACCTTAACTTTTCTTTTTTTATTCATAATCAATGAAAGTATTATTTTTATCTTATTTGGAAAGAACATTTTTTTATTAAGTATAAAATAATATAGAAAATAATAATTAAAAAACTTAACTCGTTTTTAAACTCCCCTTAAAAATTTAATTAAAGTCAGTTAAATTTTTGAAAAGATATTTTTTAAATCAAACTTGCTTTTATTGTTTTAATAATGATTTTGAAAGATCAGAGGGTTTTATATTTATACATCATATATATATATATATATATATATATATATATATATATATATATATATATATATATATATATATATATATATATATATATATATATATATATATATATATATATATGATGTATAAATATAAAATTTGATTTTGCATCGCTACATCAAAAATTTATAGAGAAAAAAAAAATGAATGATACAAGTATAAAAATTTATTTATTTAACATAATTTATCGGTTAAATATACATATTGCAAACACCAAACTTAAACCAAAAACTGACACATTGATTTTTAAATAAAAAAATTCACAATAAAATTTATAGAGTAGTTTCGATATTGGCTGAGCTACTTGTTATTGAATAGTGTTTAGCTTATGGTATTTGGTTATGATGATTATTATTTTTTCTTCCTCTATCTCTATCACGTCTGCATAAGCCATGCTTATTTGACTTCACAGTTTCTGCAAAAAAAAATAGTTGTTTGTTTAATTATGCACCAAAGAAACATAACAAATTGAAAGTAATTCTGTAATGCAAAATTGAAACTGAAAAAATAAACTTTTCTAAACCACTTACCAATAGCAACTTATGCAATCAACATTTTTTCTATTCCAATTTTTTGTCCTCTTCCTGCATAGTTTAATTTTACAACTAGACCATTTTAAAAAACTATTCTTAGCAAATAAAATATACAATCTCCTTTGTCTTTAACTCCAATTTGTGCCAAATAATTGACCTGCAAAGATATACAACCTTGCAATAATTAAAGTAACTTTTGTTTAGACTTGAATTAATATAAAATGTTATTTACAAAAAATCTTAAAAGAGTATTTTATTTAAAGTATATTAATTGCACTAAGATATCATACAAAATGCATAAACAGATACCCTTTACTTAAGTATTTTCTTGTCTTTTTTTTCCAGAGTTATTGAATTCTTCACTTCTTTTAATGGTAATAACACTCTTTCAGGCAATACAATAATTAGCATACCTTTGTTACTCAAATTTTTATAACTGAATTTGATGTGTTTTGTAGTTTACCAAGTTGTACTTCAATGACGACTAAGAATGAACACTAAGAAAAACATAAGTTTCAGAAAAAATAAATGGGTAGCACCAAAAAAAACATGATAGCTTAATTGAGCGCTGTATTTTGAAAATGTGACAAGTCACAAAATTAAAATTTTACAAGGAAGTGAAAAATATTTCTACTGTAAAAAATTTTATTTTTATTTTATCTAAAAATTGTTTCTTTTCTCTAAAAAAAATCTTTACTTTATCTAAAATAATCTTGATTTTATCTTAAAAATCTTTATTTTATCTAAAAAAATCTTTATTTTATCTTAATATTCTTTTATTTTAAGTGAGGTTATTTGAAAAGAATATTTTTTTGAAAATATTTTTTTCAAATAACCTCACTTTTAAAAAAAGTGTGATTCATCACGTTTTCAAAATACAGTGGTCATTTGTGAAACAAGTTACTGCTTAACTAGAATTACTGATTTTTCCATGACTATCTAAAGAAAAAAATAATTTCCTGACTGTTCCAGGTTTTCCACGACTTTAGCCAATATTAACAAATTTTCCAGATTTTCAAGGTACAGTACGGACCTTGTCCAATGTTTGTAAATAGTTTTTTTTTACATATTTTAGTTCTGAATTTTAATAACACTATTTTTAAAAATAATATCATCTATAAAAATATTGTATTACCTTCGTCTATTAGATAAATTTAAATAAACGTTTATATAATGAATAATAATGAATCACCAGCAACTGTTAAAACTTTAAACTGATATGAATACTGATATAAATACAAATACTGTTGTTTTTTTCAACATTTGATTTCAAATGGTTTTCAAAGTTAGTAACACCAACTTTGAAGTCCAACAAAAAATTTTTGTTACGTTCATAAACTTAATTGTTATCAAAACAACTAAAAAACTTGGCCAGTTTTTTGCAACCAAATATATTTTCTGTGGTCAGTAATTGAGAGCGATCGCTCCTGCTTCCTGACCAAGCCTGTGGTGTAAGCTTTGATATTTTGATTATTACATACTAAAATGTTAATTAACACTCTGACTTTTTGATCATAATATATGAAAAAGTTATTAAAATTGTAAAAGTTAAAGCTATGAATAAAGATTTTCAATCATTAGACACTTACCATTTAATAAATTTGTTCATTCAACTTCTCAGAGCAAACATTAAACTTCTGTAAAGATTTTGGAGTTACAGGTAAATCCCAAAGTTTAATAATATTTTTTGTTTTATTATAAAATGAGGATAAATCATCTACACCAAGATATACACAATTTTTTGTCTCTTCAATCTTTATTTTGACAGGTCATTTTCGCTGTTTTCCTTTTTTGTCTCTAGAACAGAAATTTAGCCTTATGCTAAATTCAATCTTGTATAGCTTTAAAAATCTATAAATCAAATCATTAATAATTAAGTTATAACTAAAGTTAATGAATAAGCTTAAAGTTGTTTACTGTTGTACGCAAACTAAATATGAAAAATATCCAGAGATATTAAATTAAAAAATAAATAAACCTAGAATAATGTCCCTCTGCCTCGGAAAGATGGAATATTAGAAAGCTCTATATAAGTAGATTATAAGTTCTAGTAACATCACTTTTTGTACACTGTTTTAATATGTTAGTAGATGGGATTTCATAATCAAACACAGAAAAAATCAAACAAAAGAGACATATTTAAAATGTAAAATATCAGCTTCTAACAACTTCAATGCCACATATATATTATTGATACCTTTATTAATATATCTTATAATAGCTATATAATCTAAACTATTATAATTAACGAAAAAAAAAATCATACTGTATGACATTTTAAATGTTGGATTTATTTAATAAAGACATTTAAAATGTCTTCTTTATTAAATAAATCGAACATTTGAAATATTGTCAAGTAAAAAATATTTTAAGCATATAATTTAACTGTTAACAAATATTTCATTTAAAAAAACAAAACATTAGGTCACGAAAAACTCTTGTAGTTTACTTCTTATTAGAAACCTTTTAATATTCATAGAAGATTAATAAATATAGCTTCTTTTTTTTATTTTTATAATTTTAATAAATGGAAAGATATATAATAGTATCAAAACCTTTTTTTATTCTGTCAAACGTTACCATTTTTAAAAAATGTTTTGAAACAATTTAAAAGTATACACTGATCCGCAACTACATTAGCCGAATATTGGCTACGGTATAAATGTAAGAACAGATTTTTATGGCAAAATATGAAGCCTAAACTACATTGGGCAAATATTGGCCCAACGTAGTACGATAATTGCAAAAAACTGATTTGTAGAATTGCAATATTACGCCAAAAAAAAAACATTGGCTAAATGTTGACCCAATATAGTACGATATATGCAAAAAACAGATTTGCAGAATTAAAAAATAGGCCGAAAAAAAACATTGGCTAAATTTTGGCCAAACAGAATAAACTTGCCAATGTTAAAACTTACATTGGGCCAATGTAAGCTTGATGTTCGGGTATATATAAATATATATATATATATATATATATATATATATATATATATATATATATATATATATATATATATATATATATATATATATATATATATATATATATATATATATATATATATATATATATATATATATGTATATATATATAAATGTATATATATATATATATATATATATATATATATATATATATATATATATATATATAAATACATATATGTATATATATATGTATATATATATATAAATATATATATATATATATATATATATATATATATATATATATATATATATATATATATATATATAAATACATATATGTATATATATATGTATATATATATATAAATATATATATATATATATATATATATATATATATATATATATATATATATATATATATATATATATATATATATATATATATAAACACATAATAATAATAATAATAACA